CCTTGGGGGCCCCCTTGGGGGCCCCCCTGGGGGCCCCCCTGGGGGCCCCCCTGGGGGCCCTTTCGGCGAGTTCAGTTGAAGGGCCACACACAGCAACGCGCGTTGTGAGCTCTGGGGGCCCCCAGGGGCCCCCAGAGGCCCTCATGGGGGGCCCCCCGGGGGCCCCCGAGGGCCCGCTTGGGGGCCCCCGGGGGCCCCACGAGGACCCCTCGGAGGGCCCCTCGGGGGCCCCCGAGAGCCTCTCCGGGGGGGCCCCCTCAGTACCCTCTACAGGCCTTTCTTTGGGGTCTTTTGAAGACCTTTGTGTGGGCCCTGCTGCTTCTTCTTTTCTTTCATTTTGCTGCAGCAGCAAAGCCTCTGACAGCAGCTCTTGCAGGGCCCCCACGCAGGTCCTAAACCCTAAACCCTAAACCCTCGCCCCAGCCCCATTTCTTAGAGCTGCTGCAGCAAACCCTCAAACAGCTTTTAGGGTTTGAGGCATTGCCGGTCTTTTTTGCTTCTCTCTGAGCCTCATTTGCATTTAGACTTCAACTTTGATCCCCTTCAGCCACTTCTAGGGTTTAGGGTTTAGGGTTTAGGGTTTAGGGTTTGGGGTTTCCCGCTCCAGAGAAAAGCACTAAAATCGGATTGTCGCCAGCACGAGGCGCCTTGGCTAGCAGCCTTGCCAGCTAGCTAGCTAGCTAGCTAGCTGGCCAGATAGCTAGCTTGATAGTTAGCTAGCTAGCTAGCTAGCTAGCTAGCTAGCTGGCTAGCTAGCTAGCTGGCCGACAAGACGCCGTGGCTAGCTAGTGGCTGGCTAGCTGCCTAGCTAGCTGTCTGTCAAGCTGGCTAGCTAGAAGGCAGGTTGCCCAGCTAGCTAGGCAACTAGCTAGCTGGCTAACTGGGCCACCAGCTGCCTAGCTAGCTGGCCAGCTGGCTAGCTAGCTGGCGGCCGGCTAGCTAGCTAGCTAGCTAGCTAGCTAGCGGCCGGCCAGCTGGCTTGTCAGTGGCCAGCTAGCTAGTGGCTACCTAGCTAGCTAACTAACGGCTAGCTAGCCAACGGATAGCTAGCCAACGACTAGCTAAACAGCCAAGGGCTAGCTGGCCAGCTAGCTAGCTAGCTATCCGACCAGATAGCCAGCCAGCTAGCCAGCCAGCTAGCCAGCCAGCTAGCTAGCTAGCTACTGAGCTAGCCAGCTAGCTACCCATCCAGCTAGCTAGCTGGCTAGCTTGCTAGCCAGCCAGCTAGCTAGCTGGCTAGCTAGCTAGCCAGCCAGCCAGCCAGCTAGCTAACTAGCTAGCTAGCCAGCTAGCTAGGTTCGTCTTGTTGAGTTTTGCCTGAGGGCTCTTCGTTGGCCACCAAAAGGCCCCAGCGACTCAAAAGCTGCTGCAGCTCTCCTTTGAGTGGCTGCGCAGCAGCAGCTAGCCACTCCGAGTACCTAAACCACAAACCCTAAACCCTAAACCCTAAACCCTAATCTCTGAATCCTTAGCCCCGCGGTGGACCGGCGAGCAACTCTTCCCCGCTGCTGCGCTTCCCTTAAAACCCAAACCCTAAACCCTAGTCAAAACCCCAAACCCTAAACCCTAGCCGCAACCCCAAACCCTAAACACTAGCCGCAACCCCAAACCCTAAACCCTCGCTGAAGCCCCAAACCCCAAACTCCAGCCGCAACCCAAACCCTAGCGACAACCCCAAACCCCAAACCCTCGGAGAAAATCCAAACCCCAAACCCTAGCCGCAACCCCAAACCCTAAACCCTAGCCACAGCCCGAAACCCTAAACCCTAGCCGCAACCCCAAACCCTAAACCCTCGAAGCAAGTTACTGACACGGCGTCTGCCAAGGGTTTGAGGGCCTCAGGGACTTCAGGGTTTTCCGTTTGAATTTCATTTGAGCGGTCTGCAGTGCAGCAAAAGGCACTTGCTGCTGCTGCTGCTGCTGCTGCTGCCGCTGCTGCTGCTGCTATTCGCTGAAGGGTTTTGGGGGCACAAATCATTTGTCTCTATTCCTGCTGCTGCTTTACTTGCTAACTTTGCTGCCTCCCAACTGTTTGCTGCTACTATTTGTTTCTATTCTTCATTTGTTATTTGCTGCTGCTGCTGCTGCTGCTGCTGCTGCTGCTGCTGCTGCTCGCCTTTCTGCTGCTCCGCACGCTCCAAGAAGGCAGCAAAAAGAGAAGGAGCTGAAGCTTCGAAATTGAGTCTCCAGAAGAGCAGCTCGTTGCAGGCCTTCATTCACCGCAGCAAGGGTTTAGGGTTTAGGGTTTAGGGTTTAGGGTTTAGGGTTTAGGGGGATGGGGGCAGCGGGGGGTGTTTGAGGGGTGCGCGGGCAGCAATGCGGGCTGTTCGAGGGTTTAGGGACTAGGGTTTGGGGTTTAGGGTTTAGCGAGGGTTTCGTGATCAGCGTTTTGGCTGGCGTTAGGCCTGGCTAGGGTTTAGGGTTTGGGAATGAGGGTTTAGGGTTTGGGAATGAGGGTTTAGGGTTTGAGAATGAGGGTTTAGGGTTTTGGGCGAAAGACCCGCAGCAGGCCGCAGGGCGCCGCGCCCTCCAGCAAGTCGCCCCCATCTAAACCCTAAACCCTAAACCCTAAACCCTAAACCCTAAACCCTAAACCCTAGAAGCCTCCAGCAAAGGCTCTATGCCCTGCAATGTCAAATCCTAAACCCTAAACCCTAAACCCTAAACCCTAAACCCTAATGAGCCAAGGGACTCACTTTGAACTTTGCAGCTTCCTCCAGCTTCGCCGCCAACACAGGGTCGTAGTCCTCCGTGAAGCTCTGAAAACAAACCCTAAACCCTAAACCCTAAACCCTAAACCCTAAAAGGTCCTCTCAGGCTGCAGAGTCTTGAGGGTTTGGGCTCTGAGACCCGCGGGGTGCGCTGCCACCGCAGTGATTCGGGGGCAAACTAGGGTTTAGGGTTTAGGGCTTAGGACTCTCGGTGTCTAGGCTGAACTAGGGTTTAGGGTTTAGGGTTTAGGGTTTAGGGTTTAGGGTTTGGGGGC